TTTTTTTTTTTTAGGTAAAAATTTGGAGGAAGGAGAAGGAAAGTTAAAGGCAAGGAAAAGGTGAAAAAAATGTAGCTCTAAAATATTTCCAACTCCTGAGGGTTCTTCAGCCTCTGGCATTAGTTATGGTTGCAAATGCTCCTGACACTGTTGGATCCATCAGAGGGCTCTGAAGCGTCTGCACATCCTCTCCCACGTGTGAAAATGGTGCCGTTTCTGCCAAGCTCCAGGCAAAGCAATTCCGTCTTGAAAGATGCTACAGCAAAATGCAGGAGTGTCCACAGAGCCAACAGAGCCCGTTCCCCTCCCTGTCCCGCGTGCTGTGTCCGTAAGGGTAGAGGAGGCCTCCCTTGGCATATGTTAATGTTTGCACAACCTCTTCTGGTTGCAGCAGCAGAAAATGCGTGCACTGATGCCCCAAATATTAACTCTGGGTTTCCTTTCTGCACCAGCTTTATTTTTTGATAATCTGTGCACCGGTACTGAATTGCTAGCTGCTTTTCTGCAAGGCGGCAGCCTTTCCTGCTCCAGGCAACTTGACTTCTTTTTTCTTTTTTTCCCTCACATTCCAAATGTTCATTATTGGTGAGCTCAGGAGTATCTTAATATATGGAAGGATGACCATGCCCAAGGTTAATTAAAAGTTCTCAATGGGCTTGTTTGGAACATCTTGTGGCCCGTTTCTTTCGCAGGATATATTTCATCTTGGCTTTGATGGAGATGTTTCGATATTGCAGTGAGCTCGGGTACCCTTCAGTATTGCCTCTCCACTCATCTCAACAGAAACAAAACAGGCAAAACGGGAACCTTGCTGGGAAGAAAAATATATCAGGGGAGATGATTGTGTCAGCCACCTATTCCTGCCCTACTGATAGTTTCTTTGACTGACATATGAAGGCAGTTAAACTTAGACATATCAGGCAAATGCATTTCTTCATTTGTCACCTGTGATAAAATTAGAAGATAATAAAAAAACACAAAAGACTATTACATAGATGAAAATCAGAAAGTAACTGTTTTATCTTTCGTTATTCTCATATCTTCCTACAGTTTCTGCTCTAAGTTCAGATTAGATAGTTTCCCCTAACTATATCATTTGGTTCTAGTCCAAACAAAAAATCACCAGCCTTTCTCCTGAGTATTTGGTTCCCAAATCAGCAAAATATTCGGGCATGTCACTGCCCTTAAGCAGGCAAAAAGATGTCATTAACATCAACATATCCTACTGAAGCTGGGGCTCACCTGGGGCTCACCTGGGGCTAAGATCACGGTCTGAAATAATGGTTTTAAGTATTGCCAAGCAAAGTCCAACTGATTTTAGTGTTTCTTTGATGGTTTTATTTTCTTATCTTTGTGCATGTCGTTTGCCAGCAGTGTGTCTAGTCACAAGGTGTAGCAAGCACAAAACCCAGAGAAGAATGATTCATTTTTATAAACGAGAGAAAGAGCTCCAAGGTCCTAAGGCTGCAGATGACTGTTCTTGAACCTGCTTGCGGCAAGTTGCAAGGGAAAAGAAAATTCAGTATCTCATACTTCGCCTCTCAAAAGAATTTCACTAAAATTATGTAAAAGATGCCGTCATTTTGAAAGGTGATGTAATGAATTTAGTTCTAACCATCATGACTGGCACCAGAGAGATGCTGCGTGTGAAACTTGCAGGGAAAGCTGCAAGAAAGCAGCTTTCTTGGGCTGAAAGAGCCCAAGCACTGCTAAAATGCAGGAGAGAGGGCTGCAAAGTACCTGTTCCTGTGTGTCTCAGGCTGCAGGATGCATTTAAGGCATTCAGTGCTGAGTGGCACTGTCTGAAATGGGGCCTTCCCTGTCCTCGGGGACAAGTGCAGCTGCTGGAAAAAGACCACAGGGATGCGAGGAGCATTGGGGAAGCATTGCCGGCTTTCTGGGATAACAGCCATTGCTCCAGTCATTCTTAAATACTGCCACAAATTAACGAACGGGATGAGAGGTTCACTCGTAGCCTGGCAATCTAGACCCCAGGAAAGAGGCTGATGCTCTGTCCCCTTCCAGTTTTGCTCCTGCCTCCCCGTGGGGACCCGAATCCTCCCCGTGGGGACCCGAATCCTCCCCGTGGGGACCCAAATCCTCCCCGAGATCCTTGGCAGGTGGATGGGAAGGGCTGGATCTCTCCCGGTGGGGCTGAACCCCCTCCTCCGTGGTGCCGGGCCCTTGTAACGCCACTTTCTCTCTCAGTTTGGCTCATGCTGCTATTGTGAAACTGCCAGAACAAAAGGCAGGGAAGCGGTAATCCATCGAGCCGCACGGTTCCTGTAACAAGCAGCGCTCACTGTTATCTCCCCTATCGCGCTCTAGCACAATGTGTCACGCAGCGTCTGCAGCAGAGGAAGTGGCACGGGGTGGAGGGGACAGCGGAGGTGAA